AAAACTAGCAGAACACGTCAAACTAACTGCATCACAGTTAAAATTTAAAGGTAGTTTCATAATTCTTAGTGATACCAAATGTGGTGGAACTTTCTACACGGCTCATGCTACTTTGAAAAATGTAATTTTGTCGCAATCTTCATCAAGACCTTAGTTTTGACCTTGTGTTGGTTAAGTTAAAGGCTTTAAACAGCAAACTAAAAATTTCTAGAAACCCATAAAAGACACAGTATTTACAAATCCAGCTATAAGGGCCAGGAACCTTATACTACTAAATCTGAAACAGAAGCCAAAAAATATTCTTGGGGGCACATACAGTGCACCATAAAGTACTGATCTTATTAACTCATTCGAACTTAACATATATTTAACAATATTTTTCACAACTGGAGTTATGCATGTAATATCTGCCATGAAAACCGAGAAAGCATGGAGAATTTGCACCACTTAAACACAACTAAATTCAGCATACTTGAGCTGCTGAGCAAAAACAAAACTTTCTAGACAGTCAACTAACTATTTAAGGTAATTCAATAAATAAAAGGCGACAAAAAGCTCCTGTTACAACTTACAGCAAGATAAACTTGAATTGAAAGGGGAAAAGGGCAAAAATCACACTTGAATATCAACTACGTTTAAGAAGGGCGTGAATTGAAGGTCACCTGATTGCATCGTACTGACAGAGGGTAATCGGCGAGAAATCCTTAATAACCGCACGAATTGTAGGGAACGCACTTGAGCGGCGGGTATTGGATTGAGGGCCTCCAACTGGAACTACAGACCATGAAGACTCTGAATTGTCGCGTTCGCCACGAGGAAGGAGAGATCATACGACGTCGGCCAACCAAAAGAGAACAAAAAAAAAAAAAGCTTTTCCAGAGAGAAAATGGAGTCAAAATTTGATTTTTGACTTTGTAGAAAGACACGAATGCCGACAAGATGAAGACAGGTAGGGTTAATAAATTATTATTATTATAGTTTATCTGAAATTCGATGATTAATGATGCCATTAGTATTTTACTTTGAGCAGGTAAAAGATAGTGGGCTAGGCTGGGCTGGGATCATTGTGGCTACCCAATTTATAGTGCGTTCTCACTTGTAAATCTCATGACACCAAATTGTGTTAATGAATTGACAAGGATCACATATGTTTCAAGTCAACACTATTTTTTATTATGTCTAAATTCATAAAAGTAATGTAACAAAGTTTATTTTATTTATTGACTAATAATACGCACTACAAAAAATATTCTAATTGAAAATCTTATGGTAATATATTTCAACAAAAATTTCAACAGATATTCCAACTGTATAGCTTCCGTTGGAATCATTTCAACATAAATTCCAACGAAAGTATTCGGTTGGAATGTATTTTTCATTGGAATTTTAGATGAAATTTGATTATTTCAACGGCTATATTTCCAACGACTTTTGACCGTAGGAAATTCCGTTGGAATTTTTATTTTTCACCACCGTTGTAATCGTCAAAATACAATGGAAATTCCAATAGAAAACTCATTACAACGGAATATTTTTGTTGGAATTTCTGTTGAAATACTGAAATATCCATTGAAATTGCCGTTGGAATTCTATTGGAATATATTTCCGTTGGAATTTCATAATTTTCTTGTAGTGACATGATTAGAGATGATTTTTGTCTAAAAGACCATTGTTTTTTGGTCAACAAGCTAGCACTATTTATTCCAGGTAGACAAGATCATGTTAGGCAAGTATTACCATTATTTTTTTATTTTTATTTTTTCCTTGTCATACCTCGAAGACGGTTAATAGTTGATCTACAGGTCTCAGTTCTTGTTATCTGCATAGTAGAGTAACTATCCATTTTTTCTTCTTAGTTTTTAGCTAATCCCTTTTGTTGTATTGGTGCTCTCGTTCCAAATACTCTAATTAAGGCTTGTTGGCCTTTGTTGATATCTTACTGAAAAAAAATGTTGTCCTTTCTCCTCATTCTTTTTACTCTGTTTATTTATTTATAAATGAGAAAAAAATATACAAAAAAGAGAGAGATAGAGCGTCGGTTAGAAAGTCAATTGAGTAGTTCTCAATGTGTTTTTAAAAAGAAAATAAAAAATTTATATCTATATATATTGAAAAAGAGAGGTCAATAAATCAAATGAGGAAACTTTTAAAAAAATCGCAGTCAACGAAGTTGACTTACTGAATATGGCAATCTTTTAAAAATGTGCAATTTGAAATCTATATATATTGAAAAAGAGAGGTAGAAAAATCATTTATGGAAAGTTTAAAAAAATTGGTCAAAAAGGCTTTGACTTCCCATTTGTGGAAAGTCTTTTAAAAATCCGAAAATTAATAGCAATTCTTTAAACACGGCAATTTGAATTTTGATTCACGCCCCTATCTTTAAGCATCCAATTGTTACTCCTTATTTTAAGGATCACGCCCCTATCTTTAACAAACCAATTTGAAAAATTTTGATTCCATGTTTAAAAAACCCAAAGAATCGGAAAGTCATTTAAATATCGTGTTTAGTAATTATCCTAACAAATTCATTCCAAAAAATCGGATGAGATAAACATGTATACAAGATCTACATCTTGAAGTTGCTGAAGTAGAATCCTCCACCACCACCGCGCAGCGCCGCATCTCGCCGCCCTCTGCCGACGAACTCACCACCACCGCCATCCTTTGCCGGCGCACTTTCCTACACCGTGTCTTTTCCTTTGTCTCTCTGCACCGACCTCCTCCGAGCCCGCATCTCGAGCAACGCCATTACCTCCTATCCTAAACCAGATGTCGTTTCTCTTCAAGTGCCGCAACTAAGGCCGTCTTCTCCAGGTAATTTAAGATCTTTAGCATTCTGTTTGTGATTTTGTTTGTATGGTCTCTGAATAGTTCATCTGACCAAATCTAAATTCTAATCTGCTACTGCTATGGGCAATTGGTTCAATGAGTAAAAAATTATTTTTTTTTTGTTTGTTTATTTTTGTTTTTTCTTCATTTCAATTGGGGTTTTGATGTTCGACTGAATCGTGTTCGTCTTCAACTTTTTGAATCATTATTGCAGCATTGCAATTTTATGAGGTTTCCTAATTGTGTTATGCCCAATTTTGAAGATGATTTTGTAACATTCTTTTATATCTAATGAAAATGAAAAATGAAATATTTTAGAATATTCGAAGAATGACACAAGACTATATTTCCTCTTCCTTCACTGAGTTCCACAAGCCAGAAGGGATCGAGGCACTATGTTCGGATCTTGAGGTGGATTACAATGATATCAAGATTTTGATTCTTGCTTGGTAAGTGATAATGTGATACAAAAATATGTCACAAGTTAATAGTATCTCAAGAATATATGGTGTAATAATTTCTTATGAACTGAGCCTTCACAAATTTCACATGTTCTAAAGGAAAATGGACGCCCAAAAGCAGGGATATTTTACCCAGGTAAACCCTGTCTTATTTAACGTTTATCAGTTCTTTTATTTTTATTATGTGGAGACTGCATAAGCTCTGGTTTCTCTCCATGTTATCATCTTTTGATCATTAGGATGAGTGGAGAAGAGGCTTGAAAGCTCTTCGAGTTGATAATATTAAAAAATTGAAGAAATCACTGCCAGAATTGAAGAAAGAGGTATTTCCCCTTTGCAAACTTCATTATTTTTATTTTTTTTATCATTCTTTTGAATGTGGACTTCACTGTTTTCGATTTGTTGATGGGAAGGCCTTGAAGTCAGTAGACTTTGAAGATTTCTATTTGTTTGCCTTTCGCTACTGTTAAAAGGTATGTCTGTACATATTGTAAATCTGCATTTCTGAGTAAATGTGTATGCTTCGATTATTTTCTTATCCGGCTGGTTTATTAAAAAAATTCAGAGGAAAAACAGAAATGTTTAGATATTGAGAGCACCTGCATATTGATTGATCTGGTATTAGGGTTTCAATATCCGGCACAAGTTGATTCATTCATCCAATTTCTTAAGGTACGCAACCAAAACTATATTAAATGATTCAAATCAGCGTATTTTAAGTAGTATAACCTCGGATAACTGTGAATGTCTTTCTTGACATTCTTTTTTTCTTTTTATTTTTTTTTTTATTGAAAATCTGGGTATCAGATCCAGAGTGACTACAAGGTGATGAATATGGATCAGTGGAAGAATTTTCTCCGGTTTTGTGAAGNTCTTCGAAATTATGATACATGCGAAGCTTGGCCTTTACTTCTCGATAATTTTGTCGACTGGCTTAAAAAGGAGGCAGTGTAATTTCAGAAGCTCCATCGTTATTGATAAGGGTACGGATACTTTCTCGAATGGGCATACTTTGAAAAGGAGTATAGTTCATAGTCCATCGGTATTTGTGGATTATCAACAGATCATTATACATCAGTTCTTCTGGATTTTTCGGAATAAATGAGAATACAAGAAATGGATTGAATTGTCTGTTTTTATCTTCCGTCTTCTACCTTTCTTTATTATATTGAATTCGGAAATGATAGTCTGTAATCTTTGTCGTCTGGGATTTGTCTAGCTGACAAATGAATGGTCAATGAATGGTTTGCCTGATTACTAAGACCGTGTGGCTCGACATCGAGTAAGATTGAAACATTTTTTTTGAAGCAGATACTCACCCTTTAATGTTTTGCAATGTGCTGGAAATTCAGAATTCTTTTGGTGTGTTATGTTTCGTGCCTAGCTGAATTTAGAGATTTTGTTGTTGGTTGGTGATTTTTTTTATGGGAAAAAAGGTGTGAATTTGTGCTTAGATTAAAAATTGTACTCTTATAATTGTTTTTCTGTCCCAAATGTGCTGGAAATTCGAAATATTTTGGTTATTTCTGTTTTGTGGTTAGCTGAATTTGAGGATTTTGTTGGTCTTTGAGTTATTTTTTTAAAAAAAAAAAAATAATTGGAAAAAAAGAGTGTAATTTAGGAGGTTTTTTCAAATTAATGGGACAGAAAAATCCTCATTGAGGGACAAAAGGATGAAAGTATATAATAAATAAGAGGTTTCTAAAATCACAAAGCAAAATTACAGCAACAAAAGCTCACAATTGTTACAAACAAAAAGAACTCAAAAATGCCCTCTACAAAGGCAAAGGAGGATTCGCAAACATTCGAAATCCCAAAGCTCGATTACATCCACGTTCGGGTCCGTCGCAGTCAGGCCACCAGTAGCTACATTTGGCTGAAAGAATATGATTTTCTTTTTAATTTACTTTAAGAAAGTATGATTGCCCCAACCCCTCTAACCACGTCTAACCGTTAGATTGTTCTACACTAGAATATGCGTTTTTTTTGTTTTATTTTTTATTTTTTACGTAAAAACTACTCTTGACTTTTGGAAAGTCTGTATTTGTTTTGAATTTGGGAGTAGAGATTTTGTTGTGGTTGTGTCATTAATCTTGAGCTTCTATCGGCAGTTTTTATAATTCTTCCTAAATTTTGTGCTGTTTCGAATCATTTGTCGAGCATTTTTTGTTAATAAGAAAAGGTTTTTGCTAATTGTGTGACCTCATGTAAAAGGTTTTTCTATTTACAATTTATTTACATAATATATATTAATTATATTAATAAATAATATTAACGTACATTAAATATTATATAAAAAAATTAAGAAGAATACTATTTCTATAAGATTTATAAATAATAATAATGAAATTATATGACAAAAAATTTTATAATAAAATAATAACTAAATATTATGTGGTGTACAAGAATAAGTGAAATTGTTATTTTTTCTTATATCAAAGAATAAATAAATATAGTATAATCAAATTCAAATTAGTATAAACGTGTTAGCGGGATAATATATTAATTAATTTACATGCTAGCGCTAACCGTCTCAAGTTTAACGCTCTGGCTAAAAACACAACTCTGATTAAAGACATATACCATATGGTAATGATGCAATTAATATCTATGTCCCGTGTCACCAATCGAATTAGGTTGAAGATATTAGTTTGTAATGACGATGACTTGCCACCAAATCAGACCCAAAACGTTGTGTACAAAGAAGTGTTTACTAATTTATGAAGTTTTAAGTTTGTTTGTTTTCATTTTATATGTGTTACATATCTACAAAGTCCATTAAATTTAATGTTAATATAAATTCATATAAATATACCATCCCGTGCATCGCACGGGTCAGTACTAGTATATATAAAGAGGTTGTTGGAAAAATATATTAATAGAAAATTTGAGCAAATAAATATAATGTTTGACTTACTATTAATTGAAAGTTCAAAAAAACACATGTGAATCTTTAGTAACAAAATCTAAATCCTATTTTTTTGGTAACAAATTTGGAGATTCTTATGGCAAAATTTGAATCCCATATTTTTCGTATCATATTTTATTTTTTTACTAAAATTTAAATCATATCTTTTTTGGTAACAAATTTGGAGATTCTTATGCAAAAAATGTGTCAATTATTTATGAAAACAATTCTAAATACAAATTAATTTAAAAACCGTGCAAATTGGATACAAATATAGGAAACAAATAGTTGTATAATTCTTAACCAATTCTAACAATCTTATTGAATAATTTTTTCTTTCAAAAAAATTGTGTAAATTTGATAAAGCCACGTGCAATTTTTATTTTAAAATAAAACTGATATTTGGACGAGATGTACATTCAAAATTGTGTCCACATTTTTTGGTAACAAAAGCGGTTCATCATTGATATTTAAAGTCCCCTATCCAATTATTTAGGAAAAAATATGTGCAACTTTTCAAAATTTAAATGCATCGATTTTTTTGGATTCTTATGTTTTTTCTTAACCATGTTTTATCGAGATTTTGGTAAGTTCATATCATTTTTTTTTTGTTAAGTTCATATCATTTTCTTTAGGAAAGAGACAGTTGCATAAATATTAACAATTTATTTCAATTTTTTATTAGAATTATTTTTAATTCAATTTGTTTGGTACAAAAATTGGTGCAATGTTAGGAAAATTTGGTTGCATTTTTAGGAAAAATTGATGATTTTTTTTATTTGGTTTAAAAAAAAATCGGATCAATTTGTTTGATAAAAAAATCGGTTTATTGGTAGGAAAATCGGTCATTTCCGGGACTAACTAATGATTCTTTTTAATTTTTGTTAATTGAAATTTAGAATTAGATTTAAAATAAATAATGGGTGAAAATTCCTAAAAAATTATACTTTTTTTTTCTACTTTAATTTTCTTCAATAAATAAGATCCTTTAATTTTTTTAAAATTTGTTAACTAATAACTAATAATATGCAATTTTGGATAACTTCGAACACCTATGTAGTACTTTACGTGGCAAAGAATCAAATCAATAATGTTGTACATACGAAAGTGTTTAATATCTTTTCAAACATATAAATTTCATTTTCATGAAATTTTTAATGGCATGGGACAATTTAAATATAAAAATATCTTTTAAAAAATATATATAATAGTAAATGCTTCCGTGCATCGCACGGGCACCGTACTAGTAGTTATAATAAGAGCAATTTAAATGCTAGAAAACTCAATTATAGTGTTGTTAAATTAAACAAACCTGACTCGATTCGGCTCAAACTCGGCTTGTTTGATAAACGAGCGGAGCTCGAGCTCATTTAAAGATAAGACTTGTTAAGACTGGAAAAAAGAATTTTTATGTAATTTTTTATAGTTCAGCTTATTAAAGCTCAACATCGACTCGTTAAGACTCGAACTCGACTTATTATTAGTGATAAAGGAGCCAAACTCGAGCTCGATTTGAGTCTCATTAAGGACTCGATATTAGTGATAAAATGTGACTGTGTCAACCGTGGCTAAGGTTGAACTATGGTTGGGTGCATTAACTGATTGAGATACATTTCAACCACAAAACTTCCTCGGAAATACGACCCTAGAAATAGGTTAATTAATAGTCATATTATCATTGTTGGGTAGACCTAAGTTATATGGCTCGTAGATATTTGGATTTAATTTGGAGTTATTTATTAGTCTTTAACTAGAGGGTTTGTCATTTTGTTATTTCAACCAACAATTGAAGAACCGGGTTGTTTTTGCGTCGCCTGATCATGAGGATTGTGAGCGTTCATGGTGTAGTACCTGAAATGAGATTATCCATAGTCACATTCTAAAACTTTTTTATTATAGACAAACAAATGTGGGGTCAATCTAGAAGATAACATACATACATACATACCTGCATCCTCGTTGTGCCACCTAAGCATATTCCACCGACACATGTCCCAAGGCAAAGGCAGGCTTTTTTACTTACTCCACAATCTTATCATATGTGGATTGGATTTCGATAGTCATCCCTCTCACAAATTTGAAGTTTTCTTCGTTTACAAAATTAGTAGGTAATTATATACATACACACGCACAAAGCAAACCAGATAGTTAAATTTGAAGGAGATATGGGTGATTGGGGTCCGGTGATGTTGTCCCCGGGGCTCCTTTTCCAGTTACTGGGTCGGAGTTGGGGAATATGCAGACTAGCGGGCTTTCCATTTTGGTCCACGCCATCATCTACTTTGCTCTCATCACTATCTTTCTCGGAGTTCACATCTACACCGGCTAAGTTTTTTTTGTATTTTCTTCGGTTTGATTTGATTGTTGTGAGTGTGGGAGGAATTTATATATGAGATTGTTTTTGATAAAAGAAATTAACATAGATGTTGCTGGGGTATGAATGGAACAAAGTATTGTTTGAATTTGAGAAGAAAAAAAAAGATATGGATATTGTTGCAAATATTTTAATCTTTTTCCTCTCAACTGAGTTTGTAGGTTAGGGGCTATGTCAGATTGGTAGAGGTGAGCCCATAAAGAGCCAACAACAATATAATATAAGCTTAGGCCACAAAACAATTCATATTGAAACAAACCCCAAAATGTGTAACCACACCAGTCCATAAAGGGTACAAACAGAGCTTTGCAACAATTCTTCCACAATTTCACCACACAACTCCAAGTTCTGAAAATGAAAAATTACAAACTTGGCATTGCCAATACACGTCCAGAAGCAAAAACACAGAAAAAAGAGAATCAAAATATAATAAAACCTGACAAAAAAGAACGTCTGGGCATACAGGTAAGTCTTCATCCGAGCATCACTTAATCAAAATATCCACAGCTATTCTGCAAACAACAGTCCCAACTAGCTTTTGTTGCCTCACAAAAGCTTCCAGGCTGCAAAACAAACCAAAGTACACATAATTAGCTTCACACATATGCTTAAAATTAGGGCACTTTACAAAGGCTAAGAGCAAAAATGTCAACTCATGTTGTTTAAACAGAGTATAAATTAAAAGGCTGCAACAGCACTACATACAGTTGAGTTAAGAAATAAGATATACTTGAGTCACTCAAAAAACCACCTCATTGAGCTACATGCAAAATTAATGGCATTCAATAGTAATACTACCAGAGTTTCAAGATCCTTCAACCTCACAACTATGGAGTTCAGAAAAAACTTAAGCTTGCACCAACATTCATGGGATAAGTGAGTTGATTGAAGGCCATCTCCCGGATATGGAGCTAAACAATTGTTGAAATAATTTCCAAGTATATTGAAACAAATTCGCTCAAATAACAAAGAAGATACGAAGATACACATAGCACTATCAAAGTATATTGCAAGTGTCAACTATACTAATTAACAAATAACGCAAAAAAGTCGGTAACATTTTATCCAGGGTAATACTAGCTAACAAGCCAAATAAAGACAATTCATCAATACCTTCCCCCCAAATCATCTTAATCTTAATCAACTGAATGAAACTTCAAAAAACAAACAAAGCACAATTCTTGACAAATACAAACAGAAGAATGGCAACAAATCTTAAAAGGTTGAATCTTGGACGGTCAACTCAAGTTTCAATAACAAAAAACACAGGACCCCTCTCAAACATATCTCACAGCCTGCACGAATTATCACCATCAATCTCCACCAGCAGGAAAATAAGCATATAAGACTGACCTCAATTCTTACAGGTCCATCTAAGCCAAAGCAATTACAGAGTAACCAAACAGAGGAGACATAAGAAAACCAACTAAAAAACAAAAATTCAATCTTTTGTGAGCAACAATCAATAATTCAATCGGTCAGGGCCCAAAAGATTCAATCTTGAACAAAGATAAATAAAGGGCAAGGAAGGGTTCTCACAGGCAGCGCTTTTTCTAGGCGAGGGAGGAGGAGAATCACAACACAAAAGAGCTTTCCCAATCATGGTGATGCTCGAAACCACTCCTACAACGTACAAGAGCAAGACGAGGCCAAGAACCCAGGGCATCATAACAAACCCAATAAAGAAGGTGACAGATCCACACAGCATCAGAGTAAGGGAAATCCCGAGCAGCAAGGAGGCGAAGCCCGCCGGCGTGATCTGCTGGAATGACGGCACGGGCCTCACCCGGAGTTGCGCCGCCGGGAACTCGTCGGAGAAATCAAACGGCGGGGCCGGGGACCGTATGATGTTCAGGACCAGGGAAGATAGGTCGCGTAACATCTTTGATCCGTAGTCCTGCTGCTCATTCTGTGGCTGCCTTCTCATCGCGTTTTAAGGGTTTTTTTTGCGATAATTTTACAGGGATTCGCTGGGCTAAATCCGCTCGGGTAAAGGAATCGTTGCGAAAATCGAGGTAAATGGATAAGAGTTTATTCAGGAAGTCGAAGGGGAGTGCGATTGGTTAGACTTTTGTAGCTGCAAGCAGACAAGCAAGAAAAGGGAGAAAAGGGGAAGTAAAAAGTGCAGGGGAGAGAATAGATAGGCGCAGACGTTCTGCAAAGGAAGGTTTATCCAATTATCCAATTATTATTTTCAAATGGTCATAGCGTGTTTGATTCCAGGTTTATAATTTAATAGTTTGGTGAATCCATATATTTAATAGGGGGAGTTGAATATACTAGTTAGTTCTTGGGTAGTACTATTTATCGCCCAATTTTACTAGTTACCGTCCCCTTTGGACAATTTTGCCCTTCTCATTTTTTCTAAACATCTCAGAGGAATGTGTACGATGAAATGTCGTCAAATTCGGAGGTACGATAAATTTGGTGTCCGGCCGCCGATTCCGGACGGCTTTTAGCCCGTCCGGCCGCCGGAACCGGACGGTTTTGAAGTCGTCCGGCCGACCGGTCCGGACGGGCTAAAAACCGTCCGAAAAAAAAAAGAAAACACCATGCAATGCTGAATGGTTTCCTATTAATAGTTTCGGCCACAAAAAGAAAACGGTCAAACTTTTGAAGTGCCATAGAGGCGAACGGTGCAGAGGCACAGGCGGAAATTCTAGAAAGACAAAAACGAATAAGTGCGGCTGCAATTTTGAGATCAAAGTAAAAAAGGTGTCCGGCGCTCCATACTGGAGTATCTGTAGATGTAGCAATGAAGAGAAAGGCTACCATAACCATGCATTTGCTGTGTATCCCGAGGATCATCGCCAGTTGAGCGGCCTCAGCGCTTCATCTAAGAAAATTGTTCGTGACATGACGGACGCTCAGGTGGCCCCAAAAAAAATTATGGCCGCGCTGAAGGAAAAGAATCCGGGAGACAACGTTCATGTGCGGCAGGTATATATATTTATATCTTGTAATATATGTTTTAATTAACTTTTTTAAGTTAATTATGATCATTAGTAATTTTTTTATGTAAAATTTATTGTAATAATTAATAAATTTTATTATATTTACTAATGTATTATTATTGTGATAGTTAATAATTTTTTTTTATCAAATTAATCGCATTAATATACTTTTTTATTTATTAATATAATAAATTTTTTGTTTTAAATTATAATAATCATTATAATTAACGCTAATCGGTGACAGGTATATAACTTTAGAAATAAGCTGCGGACAGATAGTTCCGACGGTAGAGACGTTCCTTCCCAGCTTATGCATTTGGCCGGGAGCAGCGAGTATACAGTTTATGCAGAATCCGATCCGAACACGAAAGCGTTGACGCATATATTCATGGCCCATCCTGCGTCGATCAATCTATTCCGGACATATCACTGGTATGTCGGCATAGATTCCACGTATAAAACCAACAGGTATGTTACTTTATACTTACTTTATTAGTATGAATCTTAAATAGTGTGTTTGATTAATTAACTTTTATTTGATTATATTTTTAGTCTTCTTTGTCTCATTTGCACAAGTACAAGATGCCATTGGTCGAGATGATTGGATGACGCCGTGCAACCAGAACTTCCTAATTGCGTATGCGCTCATCAGGGACGAGAAAGAGGCCAGTTACGACTGGGTTCTAGAGAAGTTGAGACTACTGATAGGCCAAAGCGTATATCTTTATGTTGTTGTCAGTGACAGAGAGTTGGGTTTACTCACTCCTATTCAGAGGCATTTTCCTGAATCAGCCCACTTACTCTGCACGTGGCATATCAACAAGGATGTGGAAGCCAGAACCTACAAACTATTTGGGAAGAGTAAGAAATTCTCGGAGATTTTCAAGCATTGTACGTGGAAGGCGATTGCAGAGGCCAGTACGTTCGATGCCTACACCGATGTCGTTGCCGAGCTGTACGCAAAATATTCGTAGTCCCCAGAGGTGATACGGTATGTGGAGGGCACATGGTTAGGGCACCGCGAGAAGTTTGTGAAGGCTTGGACCAACCGAGTGACACATTTTGGAAACACAACTTCCTGTAGGGTGAAGAGTGCATACTCTGTGTTGAAGGAGTGGCTCCAGACGACCACCAGCGCGCTCGATACAGTTTGGCAGAAGATTAATAAGCACATCGATAATCAAGTGACTGAAATCAAGTACGTACTGCAATTTTTAATTGCGTTATTATATTACTGCATTAATTAATTATAATCTAACGTTATGTAACGTATTATCAGGACGGCGCTTGAGGCCTCGAGATCTAAGAAGAATACACGGTATAAGGGAATCCTTTTCGCGAGCGTGATACTGAGGGTCTCGCATTACTGTCTGAGTTTATTGGACGCTGAGCTTACGAGGATGCACAAGTTGGGCACCGATGTTTACACTAGCTGCGGCTGTGTATTGCAGCTCACTTATAGACTTCCTTGTGCCTGTCTTCTCCGTAACGCAGTTGATTTCAACATTCCGATTGATTTCGGAATGATTCACCAGTTCTGGAGAATGCTCCAGATATTAGAGCCAGGTAATTTAAGATTAATGTTTTATTTATAATTTTATATTAAAATACATTATTTGGTTTAATTCATTGACTTTTTTATCGTATACTTGTAGGGACTGGTCATCAGTGCCAGGCGAGCCACGCTGCATGGTCAGATGCGGAGTTCTTTCAGACGCTTGTGAGTGAGGTTGAAACTCGCGATCCCGCGACGATGCGGTACGTGAATCAGTTCATGTACAGTCATCTTTACCCAGACCAACAGGATTATGCGGAACCTGAGGTTAAGGATGACCCGCGAGGTCGTCCCAAGAAAAATAATTCAACTAAGCGTAAACCATCTGCTTTTGAGTACAACGATAGATCGCGAGGTCGAAAATCGAGCCGTACGGCCACTTCTTCGCGTGGACAGACAAGTTCGTCTTCTCAACAGTCACAAGGGGATGAAGGTCATACATTTTTTTTTTTTTTTTAAACATGGCTGAGCATTAATTAAAGTATTTATATGATTATATAAATTGTGACGACAAATTATTATGATATTTATTGCAGAGTTTAGACCGACAAATATATTTGGATTTTCAATGTGGCAAAGTATCCCCTGGCATATGTTGGACTACATAGTGAGTTACCTGAATGTGGATGCGGATGGTAACTGCGGATTTCGGGTCATCGCCAGTCACGTGTATGGGAACCAGAAGTACTGGGCAGATGCAAGAGACAGCATTGCGAATGAGTTCGACAACCACCGTGAATTGTACGAGTATATCTATTATAGAGATATCGACGCCGGACTCAGTCGCGTAAGGTGGGGCAAGGGCCCTTGTGGACAGGCTCACTGGTTCGAAGTTCCGGAGGACCTCTACGCCGTTGCGACCCTATTTAATGTGGTTGTCATTCATTTGAGCTCTGGTTTGCAAGGTGGGCAGCACGACTTATTCAGCAACACAGTGTTGCCTCTCACTGCACGATCATCGGCTAGAGGACCATGTCGTGAGATTGACATTTGCCATCTTGGTACCGTAGCACACTACATTCTTTTAGATTTGACTGATGATTGTCCATTACCGCCTATTCATAACATGTGGTTCTGTTACCGAGATCAATCGGTTGTGGGTTGGGAGCATCAGTACCAGTCTAGGTTGCAATTGTGGTATACTGTTCAAACAAAAGCTTCTTGAATAAAAGAACGATATTATTCACTTGTGGTGTAACGCTTCTCATTCAACTTAAGTGTAGCAAATAAAAAAAAATAAATGAATCAGTTCAACTTAAGTTTAGCAAAAAAAAAAAAAAGATTCACAATCAGAAAAAAAAAATCTCATTCAACTTACCTAAGTTTAGCCAAAAATAAAAAATAAAATCATTCAACTTAATGTTTTAAAATAATAATTAAAAAAAAACATTCATTGCATCATTATTGGGCATTGTCGTAATCCAACTTAAACTTAGCCAGTTGTTCTTCGACTTCCGCCGCCACAGGACATTCACATCCTTGCTGCCAAATCGATGTAATGCCCAAAAGACGGTCCACCCACTAAAAAAATAGAAGAATAAAAAGATAATACTAAAATTTATTAAAAAAAAATATTCTAATGAAATAACATTAATTAAAATTTAGTAACCAACTTACATAGGCAGTATTGACACGCGTTGGGACCTCGTTCTCGTCCGGCAGCTTCTCGCCCATTAGAGTCGGATGGAAAACCCGACTGTACCACTGCAGGTAATCCTCAGTCGCCTCCCCTCGATCCTGTGTGGTGTGGGTCAACATACCGGTGTTGACCGTCCCAGAAATCGGGAACTGGGTCCAGGCACCTACTGCAGCAGCCTCAGAATGCTCAACCTTGTAGTTCCTAGACTCCCAAGCACGTACTGCACTGATTGGCGAGTATGTAGGGGGAGGAACAGTCTGTACATACCCCAACTGACGCAGACACCGCGCAGGCAAGTACGGCTCGACGACATCGCGGTATCGAATCAATCCGCTATAAAGAGTCTTCGGCTCTATCGCATCTGGGCTGGAGCTGCCGTATGATCACTATTACACCTGTTCACAGTTGCATAAGAGCATTTATAAAAATAATTATATTATTTTAAATAACGGGTAACTAAATTTAAATAAAATAACTTCACGTACATCGGAGGCAGTGAGTCTGTCGAGGCGCCGACGGATGGATGTGAGCCGATCGTCTGACCGTGGCGCATTCCCTACGCTCCACGAGCGTGATCGTGCGAGACAGTCAGGACCGATGGGTAGACGCCCCCGGGGTCGAAAATCGGGAAAATACTCATATATCCAAGACTGCAGAAGTGTCAAGCAGCCCGACATCTGGGCAGAGTCCCCTCGGCTGGCAATACCAAGCTGTCTGTACATGTATGCCAGCGTAGCCGATCCCCATGAGTAACCCCCAATCAAATCCAAGCCGTCGAGCACCTCGACGAGGAGCTTGGGGGTCACTCTACTACCACTCTTGTCGACGAACAATGTGGTAGCCAGCATCACCCACAGCCAGGCACCCGCCTCATCCCTAGCCGGCCGGCCTTTCCCCTTGAATACCCTCAAAATGGTGGCTTCGGACACCGAACCACGCTGCCAGAACGAACTCATGAGTTCGCCCTTGGTGACCGAAAGTATCGACATGCAGAGCCCATGGCAGGCGAACGGACGCATTGACACCCCGAGTTCTAGTGTGTCGTGTGCCAGAACCATCATAATAGTCATCGTACGCTTCGTCGTCGTCCCTGACATTAGATTGTCCAAGTCTGCCAACACCCTGAATCAGAAATATAATTATTAAATTTTTCCATATGTAATGACTATTCTAATAACTATTAAAATAGATTATAATTCATTTTTCTTTTCATATATAAATTTTATTAATTATTATTATAATTATAATTGTTGAGATTTATAATAGTTATTATAATTTTAGTTAAATTATTATAATTAATACTAATTTATAATTATTATTATATTTAATTATAATTATCATTACAAATTATTATTATTATTTCTTATAATATTATTATTATAAGCATTTATAATTTATAATTATTAATATTATTTTTTGAATTTATAATTAATTACAATTTATTCAACTTATTATTATTATAATATTTTTAATTATTATTATAATATATAATTATTATTATAATTTATAATTGTTATTATAATTATTTCTAATTTGTAATTATTATTATTATTATTAT